CACACACACACACACACACACACACACACACACACACACACACACAAGCTCCTCTTTGGCTGTACAAAATGGGTTTAAAGAGCATGCAATCAGTACTGAACTGCATCATAAAAGTAATTTCCTTTGTTTTCTGTCACAGTTTGTTTCTGGGTTCACACAGACGACTGATGCGAACATCAATCAAATGATAGTTTTTTTTTAAATCTGCATCTGCCTGCTGTTGTGAAACCATTCACAGAAGTGTGTTTGTGTCATGTTGGGAAATAAGTTACAGCGCTGGAGATTGGCAAACTCCTGGGTAATTTTGATCGCTACTGAATTTGAAAAATCATAGTTGACATAGAGAACGAGGATTTGGAAAATCTGGAGKTTTTTTTTTCATATGGACCATTTTTGGCAGCATGGTAAATGTGCTTTCACTTTGCATGGATTATTCAAATCAGTTAGACAGAAACCCTGAATGCATCAAAATTTTACAGGAATCTGCTTGGAGGATGGAAGCAAAAATAAATTTACCTTATGAAAGAATATAAAAAGTGAAAGTGAAAAAACTGAGAAGAAATGGCAAAAGGGATATAAGTTTGTTTGACTCAACAAAGAGAATCAACTTCCCCTTTTGATGAAATGTGACTTTGGCGAGGGAAGAGTGTTGAGTGCCACTTCCTGTTTAAGCTCAGGGGAAACTTAACTCCACCTTGCACATAATAACCTCTGGATCAGTTTCAACCCTTGACCCTGAGGTGTTCAGGGACAGTCTTCAGATGTGGCTCCAGCTGCACAGAGCCTGCAGAACAAACCTCTTTAATGTGTTGATRAGCTTTACTGTGGGTGTGCCGCTGGGCGGGGCCAAGTGTGGTTTATGGGCATGCTGATTGGGCTGCACGTTTCGAGAAGGGCGGAGCTAATTGAGCGATTGGCTTCATGTTTTGTCAATTTTCTGTGATTATGCTGCTTTCAAGGTCCTCACGTATATTCTAAACATTGTACAGAAAACACTCTTGCGTTGTAATGGCAGTTTTCTCAACCAGGAAATCAAATAAATGTTTGGTTTTTTTGCATTTGGTGTGATGTTTTTGTTGGCAGATACTTTACAAAACTCTACTGCAGCAACTTTCTTATTTGTTTTACAAGTAAAAAAAAAACCCAAATAAGCAAAAACATGAAATTTGGTAAAACTCATAAATAAACATGACAAACTAAGCAGCAGTGTGGATGTTTTTTTATTTGTGAAACATCGTTGTTAAAATTCAGAGGTGCAAGGTTGCAGGTAATTTACCTTACTTCAAGAACTAACACTTTTAATACAGATTAGTCATGAAAATACAACTTCCACAACTTCTACATTTATAGCATGTTTTACATTCGTAGAAAAAAACAAGCAGAAGCAGAGTGTAATCCATCATCTAAAAAATATAATTTTAAAACTTTAACATATGAAAAGGGTAATTTATTGTTTTAATGAAATTTTAAACGTTATTCCAGTTTGAAATAGTCTACTTTCACGTTTTGAGACGAACGCGTTTTGGATTTCCGACGGCTCCTGAAGGCAGCACCACCCCCTCCTGTTGTAGGTCTACGCTCAGTCAGAGAAGCGCTGTGGCTGCGGAGGAGCGCACCTCAAACAGGATGTAGCGGCTGAGACAGAGCACGGAAGGACACACGGACAATAAGACAGACAGACAGGCAGAGAAAGAGGGTCGCTTTCATGCGGGTCGGACACGGCGATGTGACAAACAGCGGGCGCACAGAAATGACCGCCTCAGCGGAGGAGAGGAAGACCAGAGTGGGAGACCCGKGGAGGCACCTCCTCACCGCCGGCAGGTCTTGACGGCTGCTCCCGCTGACCTGACAGCCTGCCCCGCCGCCGCAGAGCACGGTTCAAACACCGGAAAAAAAACCACACACCGCACAGACCGAAACACCCCACAACCTTCAGCTCGACCATGGCGAACCAGGGCGACTGCTGTGTGAAGGTTGCACTGAGGTAAGAATCTGCTTGGTGGGAAGCTCAGCAGACCATATTGTGTCTGCCTGTCTGAGAGATCACTTTAATGCATCATCTAACATCAGTTTATTCTGGAAAACACATTCATTGTACAGTGCAGAAAACATTTACTCCCTCTTGTTTTGCAGTAATGTGGGTGGTGCTCTGCACTTTATTTATAAGGCTGTGTTGATTTCATCTAGACTTCTTCTCAGCATTGGGTGGCTTCCTGCAACCAGCAGCAGGTCTCCTTTCATTCATGACATCAAATCACAAGTGGCTGCATTCAGGTGCAGCAGGGAGGAGAATGGGCGTTTCTCTCCAAATCAATTCTTGCACTAATATTGCCTTCWCATCTGAACCGCTGCTCCTTATGTGTCTGTTTGAGTTAACACACAGTGCATGCTCTGTGTCTCGCTGTTTCTCATAAAATGAACAAAAAGATGCTCTCCTCCATACCTGTGCCATCCAGCGCCTGCTGTGTTGGAAGAACACCCAGACTCGCTGCCATCACAGCTGCTTTGAATGGATTTGAGCAGGTCTTTAGATGTGTGCGCTAAAAATAATTTCATATTCAAATGCATCATGTAGCTAATGTGGTTTGATGTGTTGGCGCTTGCTGAGTGTTTTGGTTTGGAAATTGGCAGACTGGACTGTTTTTTAGCTTAGGTTTGCCAGTGTGCAGTGCTGGAGCAGAAATATGACAAACTCACTCAGAACCCTACAAACTTTGTCACATCAGGCAAAGAAATCCAGTTATTTTTTTAAATTCTACAAGTGTAAACATTGAAATGTAGCAACTCATGGGGGGACGTTGGTCTTTCAGAGCTGTTTAGTCAGCCACAGAGTGAACCTCCTTTGTGCTGGTTCACACTGCTAACTGAAACAGGAAGTCGAGCTGCTCAGATAAAAGGTGAAAGGAGAAGCTCAACATGATGAGAAACCCTAGCATTTATCTGATATCCTGATGTAACTTGCTGTACTTATACTAGTTCATTTCTCAGCATTAAATTTTGGTTACTAGTTTCAGTATCTTGCACCAGTTGGAGAATATTTTGCCAATTAGTGGTACTTATTTTCTAACTAATTGGACTGAAACCAAAAAAGACTGCACTAAGTCCCAAACAGTTGGCTGTTAAATGCATCATAAAACCAAACTAGTAATACTAGGTAATTAGTAAGCTTCTAAAACGTATAATAACTAGSTAGTTGATACAAATTTTACCTACTAGTTCTATAAATGACAGTGAAAAAAAGGGGGTGCGTAACTAGTAAAACCCTACAAATTCACTAGCTGACTGTTGAAGCCAKTACTGGTTCGCAGTTTTGTTAGTTTGCTTAACCTCTTTACTAGTTRACAAGTAAAGTTCGAATTGTTGTTATAAACAGTTCATTTCTGAGGTCAATAATGCAATAAGTTCACTTGTTAAGTCGATCCTGSTTGTAATAGTTGTTTATATGTAAAATATGGTAAAAAGTTAATTAGTACATCTAAGATATTTACTAGTTAAATAGTAAAGCACAAAAYTTTCACTAAAACTTTAGTGAACCTGAGTTTGTCATTAGTAGATAAAATGAGTGATGCAACTACTGTAGTTAACTGGTCGAGCGTATGCTGGCTGCAATAGCTCAATTTTACTATTAAAACACTAACTATTGCATCAAATTTGTTTACTATGTAACTGTTATGGTCCATAATTACTAAAAACTCAAGTGAAACATTTTTTTGTCAGTAGTAGTTAACTTGTAGGGAAAAATTATGCCAACTAGTTAACTAGAGAAAGCTTATTCTAACGTTTTACAATGTTAAACTACATAACTAGTCATTTTTTATTATTCAAAATTATAAAATATCTCAACTAGTTGGGGAAAAAGTTCCACTAATTAGTCAAGAGTATTTTTTTTGCTAGTTAAAGGGTTTGTTTAACTAGTGAAAAGTAACAAACTAGTGGAGAAAAATACATTTTGATACACAGATGGAGAAATGCTTAAAAGGTTTGCAACAAAACTGGCTATTATTAACTCAAGCATGTTGTTGAGTCAAACATTTATACAATTTTTAGTTCTGCAGTTTATTTAAGAATAAAGCATCTGTTGTTGTAACGAACCTAAAGGATGGTCCGCTCCACACTGAGGGCTTTAGAATCACAGCAGCGTTATTAAATATGTTTAATCAGTCTGATCGTCACCAGTTTTAGTGATCACACGACTCGTCTGGTGCCTGAGCTTGCCCTGCTCCTTTTCATCATGTCTGACCTATATTTACATCCCCCCGAGAGTGCCACAAAATGTGTCTGTGAGTTTTTACAGGAAACGGGAAAATGGGCAAATAAACACACGGAGAAGGACAACTTCCTGTCGCATAAGCAAAGTTTCCCCCAACAAACCATCTGAGTATTGTTTTTTTTTTTCTTTCTTTTCCCCAAGTCATACGCTGATAAGATGAAACCGTGTTTAATTGCTTCCATGCTGCGTTACCCTCATGCAAGAAAACGGAAAAAAGCGCTAAAACATGCGGAGTGGTACTTTGAGTTTGTGTGTGTGAATCTGCATTAGAAGGCTGCTGAACCAACACATCAACTGAAGTCACTCCTTCAGTATCTGCTCTGTCTTCTATAAACAATGTGTCAGTGACACGGCCTACAATCCTGCATTCAGACATGCCTGCCTGAGGAATGGATCATATGCACACACACAACACTAAAGACCTCCACATGCTCAGTCTCAAGCCCCAACAGTCACTGGTACTCATCACAGGGTTACTTCCTCTGGGGAAAACAACCCCCAAAAAACTCCAATCTGCCGTTATTTATCCAGAAATCTGTCCTGGTTAAAGCTCTGTACTTTTCTGCAGATTCTTTTGTGCAAAACGTCTCTATTTGTTTGACTTTCTTTATAAATGTCTGCTTTTTAGAAGTGAGTGCTTTCAGCATGAACACGACCACAAACTGAACCAATCACACGGTAAGTTCTTGAAAGCGAGAGCAGATTTTGGCAGTTCGGATGGGGCGAGCAGAGGCCTTAAATCTGCAGTGCAGTCCAGTCAAACATGACCACATGCATGTGATGTAGCTCTTTGCTAAGTTGAGCTTGGCTTTTACAGCTGTGCTATGAATTCTGTTTAATTTGATTCTATACAAGCACAAGAATATTCATTAGAACCCTTCTACTGATACTGATTTTATACTAAGCATCTTAAAAGCTTCACATTAGAACAACCTGATTGACTGCAAGCTGCTCTAAATGTCATTGTTCAGCTTTWATGAGCAACTTGCAAAATTCTTTTTGCAAATTGATCCGTGGGCCCCGCTGTTCCTCCTTCCTGTCGCCTCATTTCACACCAGCAAGCGACACGTCTCGCACCGACCTGCTCAGTCAGCCTCCATGGTTGTGTGTATAAATAGACACAAAGACTGATAATGTTTAGTGTTGTTTTGGTGACCGCTGCTTCAGAGGTTCTCACCTGGACAGTCTTCCTGCTCTGRATGTTCCTTCTGTTCAGTCTGAGCAGAGGGATCAGATGAGAGCTGAGCTCTGTGCGCCTCACGCTGTTGTGGTTTGAGAGGATAAAAGTAATGAGGCAGAACAAAAAAAAAAAAAATGCAAGCAGAGCATAAAATATTCAGTGTTCTCTGCCAGCCTACAGGTGAATGACCGGGACGTTTCAAGAAGTCATGACGCACAGCAATTTAGCTGAGAGGCAACGGGAAGCTCAGCTGATGAGGTTGTGATCGATCAGCAGTAAACAGGCTTGTTCAGACATTTATTATTACTTATTTTTTATTATTATAAATCCATTCGTTTTTCTGTTTTGGCTTCAAAAACGAGCAGAATACGAACGCGGAAGAGGCCCCTCACAGCTGATACACAAAGGCTTTAAATGGGGTGGTGTTTTGTTGTTGGACATTTGTCTTGTGTAGGCTACTGGTCTGGCCTGTTTCCTGTGTGTGTGTGTGTGTGTGTGTGTGTGTGTGTGTGTGTGTGTGCGTGTGTGTGTGTGTGTTAATAGTTTGCCACACAGGCTCTGTCTGGGTTACATGCTTCTCATAGGGGAAGGGGTGGGGGTGTTGCTATTTAAAATACTGAATTTGGTGGGAAAACGTCTCGTTTATCAGCCGTACAGCACTGTAGTTACAGGTCACAGGGTTGTGCTGCTTCAGCATAATCTCCTCGTGAAAGCATTCTTACACGGTCTTGACAAGCCCCCCCACCCCAATCAACCAGCCTGTGTCAGATTCACACTCGCGGGTCGGTAATAAATGAAAGAATGTGTCGTTGCTTCTAATCAGTGGTTTGGACTCGAGGGGAGGGAAGAGGAGCAGGAAACGTGGYGGGGCACACGCCCGAGTTGGCCTCCCGCAGCTGTGCATCACTTCCTCCTCGCCTGGTGGCGGGTGGAGGTGGGGGGTCACACGTTTTTATGGTCGATACCATAAAAACGCGCAGATACATTTTTTAAAAAAATCCTTTAGTTGATCGTTGAGGTTGGGCGGTGAAGAGGAATCACACGCGATGTACGCGGTCCTGTCAGCTGGGACTCAAACTCTCTGCTCAGCACATTTAAACACGCTGCTGTTTTACACACTCTTCTCGCCTTCTCTCCACGTTTGACACTCGACTGTTCCATGTGAATATGGCCGAGCTGGTAAAGCCCGAGTTCTAAAAACTTCTAATAAAAGTATAAGCAGATAGTAGTAGATTTTAAAAGGTTGTTAAAGGTCAGCAGAACAAGCAGAAAAGTGAGGTTTTCTTAATGTTTGCTCCTAAACTCCTGTTAGCTGCACAGATAATTAGATCTGGCTGATCATCAAAGAAGAGGTTTTTGTGTAAAGTAGACAGTAATAAATCTGTCGTTTTGCAGCCTGTTAAGCTACACGTTTGAGTCATGGTTGTGTAAGCTGCCTCTTGATGAACTTCTCCTGATTCAGTGCATCAGGACTCCCAAATGATGTGCTGCTGTTGCAGAATAACTTCCTGTAAGGCTTCTGCTGAACTATCTA